TTTATAGGATTTCATGTTAGGATGCAACTTTAAAAAAAGAATGACATATATATGTTGAAATGAAATTCTGGACAAATGTACGGCATTCTGAATTCTGCTTGGAAGGTATTCTACGTCCTCTTAGTCGAGGATATCATGGGATTTTATTAAAGGGAGCGCAAGTTTTGCGTACAGTGAGGTGACTTCGTTGATTTTTCAAATTTACGAGAAGGTTTCACATAGAGATGGACCGAATTGCTGAAAACTGACTTCAGTTATACTCTAGAATATCTAAAATTGCCGAAAAATGCAGTAATATCATCTTTTCGAATAAATTAAGTTCAATTAAGTTAAACTCTTAAGCATTGAATAAGATACGACGATTGAATACTGTCTATATGTCAGTACAGATATGAGAGCAAATTTTTTGTATTTAATAGCCTGCAGTACGTTTCTTAATCAAACTACTTACTCAGTTGGTTATTCTCCAGAATCAGTAGCAGTTGCCGATGTGAATAGTGATAACAAACCCGATATTGTTGTTGCAAACGTGAATGCAGACAGCGTTAGTGTTCTTCGTAACGCGGGCAATGGTACCTTTAAAGCTCAAACTACTTACTCAGTTGGTAGTCGACCAAATTCAGTAGCAGTCGGCGATGTGAATAGCGATAATAAACCCGATATCGTTACTGCAAACTATGGTTCGAACACCGTCAGTGTTCTTCTCAACGCAGGCAATGGTACTTTTAATGCACAAACTACTTACGCAGTTGGCACTTATCCACTATTCGTAACAGTCGCCGATGTTAATAGCGACAATAAATCCGATATCATTGTTGCAAACTGGGCTTCAGCCAACGTTGGTGTTCTTCTCAACGCAGGCAACGGTACCTTTAATGCTCAAGCTACTTACACAACTGGTGGTTATGTATATGCAGTAGCAGTCGTCGATGTGAATAGCGACAATAAACCCGATATGGTTACTGCAAACTCTGGTTCGAACACTGTCGGTGTTTTTCTCAACACAGGCAACGGCACCTTTAATGCACAAGCTACTTACACAGTTGGTAGTGAACCACGGTCAGTAGCAGTCGTCGATGTGAATAGCGACAATAAACCCGATATTATTGTTGCAAACACTTATGCAAACAATGTTAGTGTTCTTCTCAACGCAGGCAATGGCACCTTTAATGCTCAAACTACTTATGCAGTTGGTATTTATCCATTGTCAATAACAGTCGTCGATGTGAATAGCGATAATAAACCTGATATTGTTGTTGTAAACATGGTTTCGAGTACCGTCGGTGTTCTTCTCAATACAGGCAACGGCATCTTCAATGCTCAAACGACTTACTCAGTTGGCAGCAGTCCATGGTCAGTAGCAGTCGTCGATGTGAATAGCGACAATAAACCTGATATTATTGTTGCCAACTATGATTCGAACAGTACCAGTGTTCTCTTCCATTGTTAAGGATTATTAATGGCTAATCTTATCTATTCATTAATATTTTACTAATCTGATAACTATATTACTCTTAAAAAACACTACACAATACAGACTAACATTTATCGTAACTCTATACTAAGAATTTCAACAAAACTTTGCAACTCCAAGACTGCCACTTCTTCTGCTTTTTCAATTTTTTTTCTGCTTTTTAAAATATTATCTGCTTTTCATTTTTAACTCAATTTCAGTTCCAATAAATCATTATTGCATACATATCCGATGAATTCGTAGTGATGTATATTGTTGTTTTTTTGTCGTCTTTGTTCTCTAATGGACATTATAATAAGATGGCAATCTCGAATTTTCAATAGTTCATACAAACGGCCAATATATACGCCTCTAGTTGAGGCTGTTCTTTGCCGATACCTTTCGTTTTGAAGTATTTTCTACCAATCATCCAAATCTTTCAATTCATTGTACACAATCTTCTGTCTATTGTTCGTTGTTGGCTAAGAATATAATAAGCTGTAATATTTGCACTTAGCAGAAAAAACGACTCCAGTGGTAAATCGAAAAAAAAGAAGTTGAGAAAAGGAATATCCAACAGAGAATAGTTAAAGATCACCGAATATGAATGGTTTTTGAACGAACACGAACCTGATGCAACTCAAACCACATGCATTACTTGGAATTAGTAATTTTCAGTACGCTATCAAGGAAAAGCTGATATTGACCATCATATAAAAACTTAAAAGCATCAGAATAATTATAAATCATTTCATATTAATCGACAATTAGCTACAAAAGCATTGATATCATCAAAAGAAAAAGATTGTGAATGTTTGTAAGAGAATATTCTTGTCATCTACAACAGCAAGTCATGTATCGTGCGCTCGAACAAAATCAATATTTATTGCTCTGAATGTTTTAGCACCATACTTTACATACAATTTGATTGATGATTTGAAAAGCGCATTACGTCAGGTCGCTAACAAATGATTTTGCGCATTTATTCTGTTTTTTAAGGAAGTTTGAGCTCAAGGTAGTTTATGGATGCATAAAGTTTTTACTCGCAGCTACAATAAATGCATAGTTATATCTTGTTTTAGATCTATTGATTGATATCCATTATTTTTCTTGTGAATAATAGAATCTTAACAAGAATTTACTTAGGATAGAATGAAATCAAAATTATCCCATTTCGTATTTAATAAGACAATGCTTAGAAATGTTTGATTACATCCCGTATGATACTTTTCAAAATTCCTTTACTTTGATAAAAACATCAATATATATATATATATAGAATTTGAATTGTTTATCAATCTCTATCTCGCTCTATGTTTATAAATTCGCATTCAATTTATTTTTTTTAAAAGAATTATTTTCTTTCTGTCGAACATGTTTGCACAGAAGAAAAGAAAAGAAAAGAAAAGAATTAAATTTGTCTAATAGTATTCAAGCAATACGACAACAATAATTATACAAAAGAAGAAAAAAAGAAGAAGTAAAAGGTGAATAGTATTAGATCAATCACCACAATTATGAGTCTGTCTACAGAAGAAGAAGACGACGAAACAAGCTCATCTCCTGTCGATCAAAACTTTAAAAATAAAAAGAAGAAAAGAACGCAAAACTAGTCGACTAGAAACAAAGAAAAAACAAATATGAGATGAAATGAGAGCGAAAAAAAAGAATATTATCTTGACTAGTTGTTTGCTATAATAGTTGTTGATGTTGCACTTGAAACAACTTCCATCCATCTAAATTTACAAATAAAAATTTTAATTGAATAATCAAAATCAAAAGAATTTTATTTACCGATCAAAAGCATATTGACTTTCAGCACGAAAAAAGTACACATGATTTTTAAATTGAAGTTTAAATACAAAATCTTTATTAAGACCATCTGTTTCTGATGGTAATGAACTGCGATAACCAAGTAATGGCAACGATGCTAATGGAAAATCATCCTTAATAAAAAAAAAGAAACAATTTAAAATAAAAATGACAAAAAAAAATTTGTTTTTTACTTGATAAGTTTTATAAAAGAATAAGCAAAAATTTGTAAAAACAACCCATAATTTTTGCCAACCATTTGAGTTTTTAAATTTACGTAATAAATAACCACTTAATTGATTTTTAATTGAATGTCGATGATCATTCATTGATACAGATAAATTTCTATGCCAACATACATGCATTGTTGTATTAGCACGATGTTGAATACATGAACGTTCTATTGAATTTGTATGATGTTCTTCTTCAAGTGTTCCAACCATTGAATGATCAAGATTTTCAGATGATGCTTAAAAAGACAAGATGAATATATAATAAAAGAAAATTTTCTTGAATGATTTTATATACCATTCGATTTTAATGTAGATGTGTATTGATTTTTATGTTCATCACCACTGATTTTAATATTTTCAATAGCTGATTTTAAATCATTATACCATTTATTCTTTTCAACTTCCGAACTACAATATCAAATATAACAAACTAGATTCGATACACGAAACAAATTATCTCGTAGGGCCTGTATTATGATCTTCATCGTTCGTTAAATAAACTAACCCTAGATCTTTCACATTTACTTTGTGTAATCATTCCCTGTCTCTTTTTATTCATACTATCTTTTCCAGATCTTTGTAATTATCATTTCTTTGTTTACATGACATTCATATCTCTTTTATATACATAAATTTGCTTGCTGCTTTTGATCTACAAATAGATCAGTCTTAGTTTAAAGAAACATGCAATGATCTGACAGCTTGTGATTCGATAAACAAAATTTTTTTGGAAATATTTAATTATATGCTTTCTAACTCAACAGTACGAAAGAGAATATAAAAGTGAAAGATAGATTGATTTTATTCATCATACCTGGCAGCTACAAGTAATGATCGAGTACCCGTATGTATAGTTATAGAATTCGGAATTTTTGTACGTTCATCACTATCTTCAACCTAAAAATAATGAATAATTCTTTTACTTAGAAGATTATCTAATCAAATACGAACTGTCATTAATTTTAATGGAAGTTCACCATGTAATTTAAATTGTAGTATTGGACTTGAACCACGAGCACAATACAATAAAACATCGGAGAACTAATAGAAATAATTATATTATTTAACAAAATACAAATCAAATATATATTTTACTAGAAAAAACATTCGTTGTTGATAACCCTTTCGTGATAATTTTTGTAAACAACCTTCACGTATAAATTGCTAAAATATATAGAAATCGATAGGAAATATTTCTAATAGAAGAATTTTTACTCGATCATGTTGAATTGAAAGATTATCAACACCGATTAAATCACGTTGAAGTTCAATTAATTTTTGTCGATTTTGCTAAAGAAAAAAATTTTACATAGAATTTATTTAAATAAATTAATTTCATACTAATATAGTTAATGATTCTGTAAAATTTTCAATATAATCTTGAATTTTAATATAAACACCATAACAATCTTGATAATCAAATTCATGATCATTTTGTCGATAATAAATAAGTAATTCTAAGAAGAAGAAAAAAACAAATCAATCAATTAATTCAATACAAGGAAAGAATAATATACTTTCAAGTAAATATTCATAATGTAAAAGTCTTTGCAATGGTTTAAGTAAAAATGATATAAATGATAGATAACAAAATTTTTGTGATTCAAATTCTTTATAAATTATATCGAAATGTCGATTATGTTTCAGTATATATTCAAGTTCAGTTAATAAATTATCATAATTTTCTATATAATTTTCATATCTCTATAAAATAAATATTGATAAAAACAAAATCTAGAATTTTCTATAATATTTGTTTTTACCGGTAAAATTTCAATTAAATTCACAATAAGATCACCGATATGTTGTGTTGTCTTTTCTCCATTCAATAAACATTCATTACTTGACACAGTACGTGTTTCCCTAAGAATAAATTAATTAATTTAAAAAAAGAATTTTTGTTTTTTCATCTTTTTACCATATAGATATTCGTTGTTCAAGTTGTCGAAGAAAATTTATATGAAAATTATAAATTGGAACTAAATGTGTAAATAATAAATCTGATAAATTCATTAATGAATCATTCTCTGATTGATATTGTTGATATTGATTATCATTTATATGATGTATTTCATTTTGTTGATTAATAATAAGCATTAATTCTCGACGAAAATTATCAGCAATAACTTCAATATCTTTTTTATATGTTCGTTCAGTCATTAATAATTCTTTACAAATAAAAAATGCTCGATCATGTATGGATGATATGATCATTGTTGATGAAACAGATGTGGGAAATATAATTGGCGCGGTTGGTGGTGGTACAGTACCAATTAATCGCTAAATAAATTAGTTTTTTCTTTTATAGAGCAAATTCTTAATTCAAGGAGAAACATACCGGAATACCAGCAACTGGGTGTTGTGCCATTTGATAAGATGCCGAAGTAATTATCCTCGATGCTAAATTTGAAAAGTTATCTAATTAGAGTTACAAATAGGTTTTATCTTTGAAACATCTGTTTAATTTTAATTATAAGAGATGCAATAGAATAGAAAGACATATGTACAAGACATTTATCACTGAATAATATTATCTAAATCGATATATTTTATGGTTCTTTATTACTTCTACTAGATCTGTATATCTTCTATGTCTGGTTTTAAATGAATCTTCAGGAGAATTATAAAAGAACATCTGGTTTATACTAAGAGAAATATTTGATAAAATGATTTATGCTGATTAACATTTATTTGTAGTTTAAATTTAGTAATAAGTTACATACGTGATTGTTGATGTGTAGTTATAGCTTTTGATTCAATTTTATTTAGAGTTGTTGTTGGTGAACGATATTCATGAATGATTGGTGTATTTTTAGTCTATTATAAATATCACAAAGATCTTTGATATATTTTTATCCTTGAAATTCAATAAGAATTTACCTTATTATCATCAATATATGTTTCTTCAGTATTATTAACTGGTGCGGTTGAAATAGATGAAGGTAATAATATATTTTCATTAATTGAAGACCTTAACATAAGTTAATTAGTATTCAGATTAATTAATTATATATTATCATATAGAATATATGAATTTTTAATTATTATACTCGCATTATTAATTACCTTTTCGGTGGACTGTTGATCTCAACATTATCATTATTTATTATTGAAGCTTGTTTACTTAGACTTAGCCTTTGTGCTACTGAAATCAACTGTTGTTCAGTATCTGATTGCCTTCTTGGCGGTGTATTATTTGGTATAAATGGTACAGGTCGATGATTATTAACAAATCCACTTATCTCACGACGATGTTGTTGTTGTTGTTGACGATGATCTTTTGTTATTGAATCTCCTGTAATTAAGAATGAAATTTATTCTTTCTATTTATTTTCTTCATTAAATTTGATCTTATATTGTTTTTCTTATGCATTTAACTATCTTAGTTTTCTTTTTTCTTAATCGCATTTATTTCTTCATTCTTTGTTGCATTGTGTTATTCAAGAACGAGTTTATGTACGATACAAAAAATTCACACATACGGATACAATTGTTAATTTAAGCGGAACAACAAACAAAAACAAACAATTTATTATTATTTAGCATACAAATACAATTCAGGGACATCATCTAAACGTATGGATATATATATATATATGTGGAGACAAATAAACAGAAAGCGCATATTGTCTACAAAGATATTAATAAGTCGCCGGGTTAGTTTTTTTTTATTTAAAAGAAAAAGAAGAGAGAGTGAACCGAATCATATTATAAGAAAATCTATTGATACTATCTAACTCTCTCGTTTTCAAATATTATCCTTCTATCTAAACACAAGCACACAAGCAGACACGCACACACACATATATATATATCCCTGATAATGTAAATAAAAAATAGAATACCATGAGCAGGAAAATAAAACCACTCATTCTGACTTACTCAAAATAGAAAAGAAAAATCATACTCTCATCAGTTATTAGAATTGAAGTGTTAGAGAAGACCTGTACAAATTTAGTTAGATAGATATGCATGTAAGTATAACAATACAAATTACGATAGACAAAATTAAAAAAAAAACGAAATACTATTCACTTGTTATGATGATTACGTTGAACAAAAACAGAACGAAAACCGGCTGCTTTATTCAAATGATTTGAAAGTGAATCATCACTTGATGAATATATATCTTCTCGTGAACGTCGTTTTTGTTGTTGTTGAAGACGACGTTGAGTACGTAATGGTGGAGGAGAAGGTTTTGAATTAGATATAGTAGTTGGAATAATACAAGTTTTTAAACTAGTACTTATTGATGTTGTCGGATTTGAATCTGAATCATCACTTAAATCAAGAAGACGCGCGGATAACGGACGTTGATGACGTTTCAAATGACTATCAAGTATAGGTGGACATGGTGCATGCATTGATGATGCATATGATGAAACAGACGAAGCACGAGATGAACGTGCCGATGATGAAGATGAATTAGCATTAGGAACAGATGCAGAATGTGCAAAATGTAACGGAAGAGATACAGAAGACTGAGAAGGAACTATATCATTTGATGCAATATTAAAAAATTTAAGTTTAGCGTCAGAAAATGTTGAAAATTCTGATTTATCTAATTCATGAAGATTACTGCCACTTGGATAAGCAGCAAAGCATGTTTGAGCAGCCAATTTACGACTTATATCAGTCCAATCTGTTGTTGTTGAAAATGCTGGACTTGATTTTGTACGTAAACGAGATCCTGAATTATTAGTATCATTATTATTATCATTGTTCTTATCAGTTTTTACTGTTCTTAAGATACACGATTTATGATGAGGTAAATGAGCAGAATCAGCAAACATTTGTGCACGACGTTCCATGAGATATTGACTTAATGCGCGTGAACATGCTTGTTCGACAAGACGATCAACAGTAGCAAATAATTGTTTTTCTTCTTCAACAATTTGTGTAAGGATAGATTCAATTATTTGTCGAACTAATTTTATTGAATCTTCGGGAGATTCTTTTTCATCTACTAAACTAGTTTGATCATTTGCGATTGTATCATCTTGCCATGAGAGACTATCTATTGGTGGTAATATACGTCTATCAATATATTCAATATAATTTGTCATACGTGGTAATGAATGTGGTTTTGAACGTATTTCTACAACAATAGGTGGTGCACTATTTTGTAATAGTGAATTATAATTACTATTATCATCAGGAGCTCTTGAACCAATTAAACGTTCGATAGATGATGGTGGTGGTGGTTCTAATAGTGATGATGATGAGGAGGATGGTGATGATGAACCTGATGGTGAATGTGTAAAATCTAATGAGAGTATACGTTCAATTTGTAATGAACGTGAACGTTGTTGTTCTTGAGAATGTTTTAATAATAATTTTTGTTGTTGTTCTTCTTCATCTTTTTCATCGTCGTTCATTATATCATGAAAATTTGGTGTAATCGACATTGAATGAGAACCACCGGATGAATTTCTCGTTTTTAAATACATTTTTAATGATGCTGAATAACGTTTTACTAGTTCATTCTCATTCAATTTATCTGATTCGTCATCTTTTCTATTATTAGTTTTATCATTATGATAAATTTCTAAGCTTATTCGATTTTCTTTTTTATGATTCGATTCACTATAATCTTCTTCTTCCTCTTCTTCATCATCATTTACTTCTTTACGAAGTCTTTTTTCTATGCCCGGCGACTTACCTTTATCTAAGTCATTATGTTCAATAACACGTTTGGAAATTATGGTTTGTTCAGTGTCAATTATTGGATTATCAATATTATCATGAGAAATAGGATTCGTTATTGGTGATGGTGGTGGTAGTGATGGTTGTGGTTGTAGTGGAGGTAGCGGCGAGGATGATGTACCATTAATTAAATTTTCTGTTGGTTCATTTGATTGATTTTGAATATTTTGTCCTTCTTCCTTATCTTCCTCTTCTTCATCTGTATTTTCTCCATCAGATAAATCATATTTATCACGACTAAATCTTGAATCTAATGTTCGACTACCATGTGTTGATGAATCATCATGATAAACTTGTTGATAAACATCATTCGGTGTTGTTGATATAGTTGCATCCGTACCTCCTGCTGTTGTTGTTATTACTGGTTGATTTGTTATTGGAATTCCAATTGGACGAGTATGATGACGACTGGATTCCACTGATGAGACATTTGTATCTTGACTACGCATAGTATCAGATGTTTTAAGTGCTGAACCAGGTGATCGATGTGAACGACTACTTGAAGGGGCAACTGTTCGAGTATTTGAATAAGAACTAAAACAAAAAAGAATAACAATAACAAAAATTTCAAGTTTATTTCGATGTTTTTCTTACCGTGTAAATGATCTACTTTTAACATAATGTTCACGTGCATATTCAACAATTTCTTTTTGTGTACGACCATTATATCGAAATGATGAACCACGTGTTAATAATCTACTTCTTGAACGTGATGCTCGTTTTATAGTTACACAACGAAAAAAAGCATGATATTCAATACATTTCTTCCAAAAATTTTTACATTCATCACGTGTGTTAAAATAAAATTCCACTGTATCTTTATAATAGCCCTTTGAAAAATAAAAGATGATTTATTTTAAACAAATAATTAGAAACTTACATATCCTTCAGGTTGTAATTTAATAAGAAATTTTTTACGTTTAAAACTTAATTTACGAATTTTTGCCCATGAAAATGTATTTATTTTAGTTATATTTTGAAAGACAAGGATTCCCATATGTGCAACAGATAAATTAAGATTGACTTGTTCATGATCTTTAGCCGGATGCATTTTTATACCGTATAATTCAACTTTCCGAGCAATATCAAGTAGATTAAGATCGGCATCAGCAGGAAATTGACCACTTTAAAAAAAAAGAAAGAAAGAAAAAGAAGATATTTAGCTTGATTAATATAAATATATATATATATGTGGAACTAATAAAGATTCATGAACGTACATATGATTTTTATGAAAATTCATTATACGAATTTCATGATCAGCAGTTTGATGTGGAAAAAATTTTCTACCACCTAAATAACTTGGATTATTATTATAAGATTCGAGATAATCACCAACTTCCGCTAGAATAAAAATAAAAAGTGATTTCTTCTTATTTGTTTTTTTTGTGTGTCTACCTTGAACAATATATGATGCAAGTAGAGCAGCAGTATTATCACTACATAGTAGTGTACCAAGATTAAGATCACGTTTAATTTGTAATGCAAAAAGATACCTAAAACGAATGTATATATATAAATTATAGATTTTTTCTTTCTTTCTGTTATTTGGTAGATCAAATTATTCGATAGTCAATACTGATGCAATATTTCTATTTAATCTAAGTCAAGGTTCTAGTTGAAAATAAAGAGAATAAATTGCATATTAGCCTGAGGGTAAATCAGGATAGAATGACAATAAATAAATAAATAGGACACTTATTTAGAAGATTTTTACCTAGTAAACTCTTCTTCCAATTGGCCAGGATCTGGTGTATAAAATTTAACACAAAATGAAAATTTCGTTTCCGTAACTTGTTTAAGTACAGGCTTATCCATTTCAAGCCAACACTAAATAATAATAAACAAACAAAAAATAAATAATATATATATATATATCTATGTTGTCTTTTATTTTTTTTGTTTTTTCATGTAATACATACAGCATTTCGATGGCTATCAACATATTCAAGTGCAAAATAATCATTTTCAAGTAAATCAATATAGTTACAAACTATAGTAAACAAATCTTGTCCAGTTGCTTTTGGCTAAAAAAAAAGAACAATGTTTATAATGAAGCTCTTGAATCACTCAAGCAAACATATGCCTAGAGTAAATACAGATGAAACTTCTTTCTCGTGATAATAAGTTCCAATGTCATCATCAGAATTATGATGATGATAGACGTGTGAGTCTGTGTTCGTATGCTATAAGCAATTAACCTCGACCGTCTTATAAAAAAAGGGCATTCGCAACACATATGAAAGACTCCTACATTGCGTTTTTGTTTTGACAAAACTCATCAGAATGTTGTTTACTATGATTAAAAGTGCTTGACATAAAATCAAATATAGAACGGACAAAAACCTTATGTGATATCGATTGTATACTTACATCAATATGAAATGGTAATTCTTGTTCGTCAAGCATACGAACTTTACATGCTACTTGTTTGCTAGTTTTAGCTTTTGTCATTGTTGAACTCATTGAAAAAATCTTTTTTTATTGTTGTTGTTGTTGTTGTAATTTGTAGTGTCGTTGGTGTGTTTGTTATTCTTATTTTTATTATCAATAGTAAAGGTTGCTCTAACTTTTTCGATTGTTTATTTGTAGCTACTAATATTCTTGAGAGCCGTATTTATCGTGGACGGGTAACATATGGACAAGAAGAAAGACAACAGCTGAATTCAATCGTTGTCATCGTTCAAAGTTAATTATTATTTGTCCTAGTCGCGTGATGGTAGTAGTTGTTGATACATCATCATCATCATCATCTTATCTAAAAGAAACATACCACATACATATAAATGTAAACTAAAACCATCTATCTGTTCGTCGTCGATGATGTTCATGATTTGTTTGAGAAGTCATGGTCGTCATGTATGCATGTACTCTCGTCGTTTGTTTTAATAACGAATATAACTCTCTCTTTTTCTATATTTTTTTTCTATTCTAATAACATCCCTGCTGTCTATCTCTCTATCCTCCCCGTCGAAACTTGTTATCATTGATAGTAATGATAAAAGTAAAGACTATATGAATATATAAGCCTTATAAATGATTGAAATGTTTCTTACCTCTGCAAATATATTAATAGAAAAAGGATAAGAATACGGATAAGCGGGTTGACAGAAAGACGAGCAGATCAAAACATAAAACAATTAATCGATTAAATAAACGATTAATAGTAGAATAGTAGCTTCGAACATAGATTTCTTTCTTTCTCGTGCACACATAAACACATACACACACTCTCTCTCTCTCTTATTCTTATTCTGATACTGACCGATTTTTTTGTCACTCACTATCGTTCTTGCCATTTTCCATTAAATTGTCTATGTCTTTTTTTTTGCTTCACGACAATGATGACGACTGACAATCCATCATCTTCTTTCTGGCGGCAATGTCGCTTGGCTATCGTCTCTTTCTTTCTCGCTTGTTTCTTGCCGTTCTCTCCAGTCTCTTTCTTCTTTAGCCTCTATTACTCAAGTAGTAGACTAGCAACAGCAAAGTCAGTCGTCGTAATGCATCTCATAGGAAGACAATTGCTCAGCATACCAGTTCTTCTTTTCTTTCCTTTTCTTTATGCATCTTTCTCAATTCTCTTTTTTTCTCTTTTTTTTCCTGTTTCTTTTTTTAGCTCTATCGCGCTGTTGTTGATGCCGATGATGATGATGATGATGATGATGATGATGATCTCTCCTACTCTCTTTCTCTTACATATATATGCTGTATGCCTAAGCGTATTCTCATCATCAACCAGCCTTTCTCTCGCTCTCTCGCTCTCTCTCTGCCACACGCACACAGTTACAGTTGGCTGTGATAGTAAAAAACTGACGAAGATATACGCGTGTCCCTCTAATCGGTTTCTTTTCATTCTTTCGCTTGCATATTTTGGTCAGACAACCATATATATATATATATATATACACACACACACATAGAAACACTTGGAATACTATGCTGATGATGTCGCTTGTAACGCATCTCATCAAGTTTTCACATATATAAAAGACATGTAGAGCAAAACAATGCATAACGGTTTTGTTCTTTGTCTGCTTTTATAAATCGTTGATAATAAATAGATCGAGTGAGTGGGACTTACTCGTTCGTTTGTTCGTTCGTTCGTACGCTCGCACTTTTTTTTTATGTTTGGCATTTTATTAGAAATAAATCAAGGAACCGTTTGGCTTTGTAGATAGGCGATAAAGACAGGAAACGAGGCACATTAATGAACCGGATGTCTACTTGGGATCGTTCATATATTAAAGCATACACACCTCTTCGATTTTTTTTCTTGTACTAATCATCATGTTATATTTCTCATCAACATAAATAAAATAAATATGCAGATATGTGTCTGTGTATGCAAATATGATGTTCAGAAGAATAATTGAAAATATAAGTTATTTGATGGTTGATGCTGACTGGTAGAATATTTAAATAGAAAAATATATAGCATATCTTACTATCTTTTTTGCTTCTCTCGCTCTATTCCCAAGATACAGACAAGCTTTTCTTTCTCGATTATGAAAAAAATCATGAACAAATATTGCGATAGTTTACATCTTGCTGGTTTCTTCTGGCTATTATCATTAGAAAATGGAAGCTCAAGCAATGTTAATATATATATATATATATATATTCTAAAGATCTTAACTTTTGACTGAAACTAATTCATCTTTTTTTCTCTCCTACGATTTTTTATATTCACTCATCGTTAGATTTGATGTGATTCTACTGATTTGTTGTTAGCTACTAGTAACTATCTATTCACAAACAAACGTACGAGAATACTAGTGTAAATAGAATACTCCGCCTTAATAATCGACAGCGCACGACGCAGCAACATATTCACTCAACATGCTAGATGTGTTGCTCTAATTCGATTAATTATTCATTCCAAATACGTTTTCACTCATCTTTCTATCTCTTTTTTCCTCTCACATTCATTGCTTCGTTTCACTTCTTTTTTTCCCTTTTTGATTAAATGAAATATTAGGTTATGACAGATTTTTTTTCTGAAAGCTAACATAAAAGAAAAACAAATTTTCGGTTAGTAACTAGAATATTCGTAATCATAAATAGATTTGAATAAGAAAAATCGCACTATGCTCAATCAATTTCCTTCTACATTGTCAAAAAAGCGTATAATACTTAAGATGACAGTTACTGAGCAATTAAAGAAGAGAAAAGAAAAGAACAGAAAAAGAAGAACGTGAAGATGTCAAATCTTCGAAAAAAAAGAACAACTATGTAAATAAACAGTATCGTCGTATGAAATAAAAACAATAAAACCTCTTAATGGTTCGACTTCCAGCCAATGATAGACTTCATGCCGAGAGTATACGTGATTGGTTGAATGAATCAAGAAGAATGGAAAAAATAGTAAACAATAGATTTGTATTAAAATTGAAGTGTGATTTTTAATTAAATCAGAACAATGTCGAATTTGCCGACGACATTTTTAACACATTCACAACGTGTTTGTTGATTGTATAGAACTCTATTTGCTCCTACACATCGAGAACATTGGCCTGCTAGGTTAATATATTATAAATAATTGTTTTTAAAAAAAATTGGTTAAAGATATTCTGTAGACTTGTATATCGTCAAAGTATGATACTAATAAAAAAGTTCAAGATCTAATGAAAGCAAAACGATTATTAATTGCAGGAGAAGAAGAATTTAAAAAAGCTATGTGTATTGGCATACAGAAAATTTCAATTGAAAGAATGACATAAGCATAAGAATTTAAGTCCCTGAATCACCTTTTGGCATTGCTGAAAACCGATTTCCAACACCTGATGATGCTGTAAATAGTTATTAAATATATTTTCTTTCTTAATCTAAGGCACTTGGTGCATGGTATTCATTAGAAAAAGCTCAATATCCAACATATTTTGCAATGCGTGAAAAAAGAAAGAAAGCTTATATGGATTGGTATGTTAAATGATATGGTATTCCTGATCCACCGATGATGTAATCAATAACTTCATATCTACCGTTTTTTCTGTCCTTCGAACTGTAAAGCATTATCATTACATATTTATACATATCGAATTTTGTTGTTTTTCTCATTTTATCTATTTTCTTTTCTATTAGATTTAAGAATGTGATCTATCAGTGAAGTTATGTCGTGCCATTCTTTTTCTTATCGGATAGTCACTTAAGAAGACATCCTCTTGTCTTTTATTGAAACGACAAGATAGGAAAGGAAATGTTTTGTTCTAATTTCTATTCCACTCGTCCAATATTCAATTTTTTGTCTGCCTTTCGAAGTGCTTGAACATAATTTGAAAAATTTAAGCTGTTCAGTACTTCATTTCAATGAGATAAATATGTTGATTATGAAAATGATTTGCTTACGAAAGAAAACTAATATTTAATTCGCTCATATATTTCTCTGAAATACTTTTACTCATACAGATTGTCGTGTATCAACGAGAGAAATAGGAGTAAATGTTCGATGGCTACAGGCATAAAAAAATATTCGAATCTTTTTGATTATACTTATTTGAAAAGTAATCATTTCACTTACTTTATAGAGATGTATACGAGATTTTGTTTATGTGTAAATCGTAAAGAAATAGTCTAATTCCGCTAAATTTTTAATCGAAATAAAGTACACATAATAAGATTACAGTAAGTAAAGTTTTTAGTTTTTTTCATCATATTTCCTTCTGGTAAAATTTTACATTATACGACAAAATACCGAGAAAGAGTTTTCTTTTTGAAGAAAACGTAGGAAAATACTTTCTTATAAATTGCTCAAACTTAGTTGACACAAGTGCATACTTCTTATGCTTCATTCAATTTGTTCTGACATGTGAAGTAATTCTATCTTCAATATCGATCTCTAATAAAAAAATCTTAGCTATTGGAAAAAATAGCAAAGAAACACAAGATGGTTAGCGTAGTCAACTTCATTAGATTCTTTTTTTTTTGAATTATTTTCATCTTATAATTTACTCCGTATTTTTTTATGAGCTATTGAAAAGTGTCGAATGCGTTTTCTACTCTTTTTTTCCGATTAAATAATAATAATAATAATTAAATTTATTAAGTGCACTCTCAATATTTTTAAAAACAGAAAGTTAAAATTAAAAGAAATTTCTTTCTAACATTTTCATCAATGATGCAATTCGAGAGGTACTATTAGATATACAATGTATTCGTCTCTATAGTTTTTTTCTATGAAACTTTCTAATCTGTCAACGATTATCAAATCGTTTTGGGTAATGGAAGAACAGGAGAGGAATCTCCGGAGACATTAAGTTATCACGAGTAGCATTAGTTTCTTATACAAATAACAAATGAAATTGAATGTTGACGAGAATTAAAACAAGATGTAGAACAATTTATTGCATTACTCGATGAATTATATCGTAATCGATTTAAGCATGATAATTTTCAGACAACGATGGCGTTAAATCTTGAGCAAAAAGCAGGTCGAGATCTATATGAACGACTTGGCACACCATTGAAATCACTCTTCTGATTGTCTATACCATTCATATATGCTTACAGACTTCCTTTCCTAACTATCGTAGCTAATAAACATCTTATTTATTGAAAACTTTTAATTTAATATTCAGATAATACTGTCAAACACGATGTATCTATTCAAATTTTATTGAAACGGACTTACGTGGTGAAAGATAGTTACAATTCAATATTATATGACTAATATACCATTAGATTTTATAGAGGAAGTTCATTTGATCTATTTTTAAATTGAAAATTTTGTTTTGCAAAATTGTTCTTATGCTCGATATATATATTTTTTTATTAATTATAAGACTTTGTCGGTCATATAAAACGTTTTTTTTTGTTGATAAAAAATTTATGTTGGATACACATATCAAAGGTTATAAACTTGTCAAATGTGATAAAAAAATTTCAACTATTTTATTTATGATTAAAAACATTACAAGTTGACTTGACACTTACCGGAAATGTAATGTAATAGGAATGACATGCATTGCTTT